TTGCCTGTAAATATTTGCAAAACCTAGGCTGAATGTTAAGCCACTATTTATAGTGTGGACCTTACTCTTTAGTTGCCCAAATACTGATTAGATTTATTGAATAAGCGTACATACACCACCAAATAACGAAAATGATAATTTCATTAAAGTATATTGCTCACAAGAATGTCTATCTGTCCATAATGTTTATTTGTCTGTTCTGCAATGCTTTCAACATAAAACTCATCAGTAAGGTCTCCCTTCAATGCGATAGGAACCTAATGAAGAAATAAGAATATTATTGTTAACATATAATATTTTAAACATACCTCTGTGTATACATAATACAATAATAATATCATCATTTTAATATAACACAGCAATCCACGTATAGATATCTTACTATTCCATTTTCTTTTTCACATCGCTTTCCAACTTCATCAAGGCTAGGGGCATGTTCGCCAACTAGCGATAATTTTGCACCTAGTTTGGCAAATAAAACACTTGTAGTTGCACCAATACCAGAACTTGACCCTGAAATTGAATTTAATAATTTATATAATAATAACTGATGACATTGAACTTCTGTTTTTTGACCAGGACAAGTTTGAATTTAGAAATGAATCAATCATCGTATTATCATTCCTGTCGTTCATTTGTCATATTTTGTTCGTTATTGTGGCTATGATTATTGATAACTCTCCATTCCAATACATGCGATTCATCTTCTGATAACAGTGTCAATTAGTCCAAGCCTAAACTGAATACATTAAATAAAGAAGGGTCATGTCGCGGCGCCAATCCATGACAAAAAGCCTCTGTTTGTGCTCCCTCTTTCATTATGGTGGTCTGAGCTGACCTTGTAACTATAAATTTTAAACTACATGTGTCACTATTCTTGTTCACACATGCTGACAAATGAAGATCTTGATTTAAAAATTTCTCGTCAATGGTCTGTTCTGTTCACTGTCGCCGCGGCCATCATGGGGGACAGTTTTTAACATGGAAACTTCTTGACACATATCTCATCTCAGGATTTAACTATCATGCCTAAATATCCTAAAATCTCCACATTCATAGCAGACTATACGCAGACAGAATTAAAAATCCGCTTTGGGGAAAAAAAAACAAAACAAAAAACGCAGACAGAATTATAAATTAGCATATATAATCACATAAGGTGTGGTCCTAATTTGATCTGAAACAAGTAGGCAGAGGTGAATAAACCTATCATTTCAACTCCATAGGGTGATAATCCTGTTCAAATTTAAAGTAGGGCACTGGATGGCAGCATATGAACGCCATTCCAATATTTAATACAATAGAATACACACATTTTATAATACATGAACCAATCAGACATTGCAAGGCTCAACAAAAATGTTAAAGTTAAATTTTGCAAAGCTTCTGTGTGAATTAGGAAATGAATATTCCCAACAGCAATGGCATTAGAGGTTGGAATAATCAGCCAGGAGATATTCAGAGACAATATATAGCAAATTTGATCAAAATCTATTCCGATGTGAGATTTTGCTTACCAGGCTGAAGCAAATTAGCTACCTAATATGCACAGACATATTAAACTCTTTTATTTAATAACAAGTCAGTTTCAACAAGGCTAACAAAGTTTCAACAGTGCTGATTTTGACATTTGACCCAGGCAACACATACACACGTATGATACAACTTCTCCACACACAGGCTAAATTGTTCTGCGCATCTATAGTCTTTGATGAATACGCAGCGGACACAACGACTTGCCAATTTCAGTAGTGAACTTCAATACTGATCACACTAGAGTAATTTAGTGGTCGTGGTTTGGAAACGGTCAAAAAGCAGGAAACGGCGGACTGCGGACTGAACTTGAATTGGGGAGATGTATAGTTTGTAATGTTTGTACCTAGTCTGCCGATGTATTAATTGTGATGTAATATTTAAATTATGAAAAATGTTAGTCAAATGCAAATTGAAGTCCAGTATGGCAAAACAGCGTCCCTCAACACTATGAGGGACGGTGGGCAAAAGTCAGGTTATGAAAAGATGTTAACCAGCATAGCGCAGATCAGGCTCAGATTTGAATTGAAGCGCAAATCAGAGTGCCGACAAATAGAAAGGGTCAATCAGTGACGGTGTCCGAATCGGAAAGCAGATTTTAATACATACGTCGATCGAAGCGTCAATCAACCAGAGTATAATCACGCACCCGGGCCGTTACATAGATCGAGAGGAAATTGTGAATTGCCATAATTTTGCTTTTCCGCCTCATTTTCATTGGTGAAGAATAGACTGTACTGTATGTTATATTTTCGGAATAAACGTTCATTTTACTGTTAAATTGAACATTCTTTTCAGGTGACGTCACTGGTTCCATATAGCATGGAG